TGCACTCATCCTTTCCTTTCAGCATTCAAACACAGATTTTTCTAAGTACCGGCGAGAATAAATGTTATATTATTTCAGTTTTTACTAAAAAAAAAAAAATTACGTCTTCAAATTTTGTAAAATTATTCGATAATTAAATAAACCAATTAGATCATTGTGCATCTAAATTGATAACGAAAGTTTACTCTTTCCAACGATTCTACATTCAGATTTGTGATATTAACAGTTTTCCTGTAATAATCAATCAAATTTGAGAAAAGATTAAAATTACGTCTTCAAATTTTGTTAAATTATTCGATAATTAAATAAACCAATTAGATCATAATGCATCCAAATTGATAACAAAAGTTTACTCTTTCCAATGATTCTACATTCACATTTGTTATATTAACAGTTTTCCTGTAATAATCAATCAAAGTTGAGAAAAGGTAAAATCACGTCTTCAAATTTTGTTAAATTATTCGATAATTAAATAAAGCAATTAGATCATAATGCATCCAAATTGATAACGAAAGTATACTCTTTCCAATGATTCTACATTCAGATTTCTGATATTAACAGTTTTCCTGTAATAATCAGTCAAAGTTGACAAACATGGAAGGGTAGAGAACACTTCCTTGGGGTACACCACTAACTCATTTTTTGTTTCTTCTTGAAATGAATTTACATTTAACGATAATTAATATGAATTGCGAATTCCTTAAACGTCGTTTGTAGGTGAGATTTATTGTCGTCCTGATACGTGGCAAGGTTAATTGAAGAACGCAACCAATTGTTTATCCTTTCGTCTCTCTCCATTCGCAACGTGCATATCTACATTACGTAATTACCCTTCTCTCTCTCTCTCTCTCTTTCTCTGTGTCTTTGTGTACTGTCTGTATTAGGTCTTCGGTATTGATTTCGATTGCGTTATGCGCCGTATTTGTTAAGAGGATTCCATGCTAATTGGTTATCGATCAAGTGTGCAATGTTCGCATGTTTGTAGTGTTTAAACGTGTCAGAGGATGACCATTATGCATCTAATTGTACCAACAAATACATTAAGACAATCAACAAATTTTCAATACAAATAAAATCGTATAATCAAGCTATAATAATGACAAATATTACTTTCATACAAACACACACAGATGTCTATGATTATTCAACTGAAGTGAAACGAAACATTTTAAAAGAATGGATCAATTAATTAAGTTTAATTGCGAACTCTGTGCGTCCATTTATATATCTCTCTCGATTGCTGCTTCGCCGTTGTATTGAATTTATTGCGAATTATCGTCGGATGCAATTTATGTTTTCTTTGATTCATTGCGGCATCCGTAAATCTCCAAAGCCAATAACTCTCGTCCACTCTCTCCCTCATCGTGCACAAATCTCATATCTCTATTAATTAATACCAATACGCAATTTGCACAACAAATTTTGGTTCCAAAATCGTTGACTTTTCCAACTTACTAATACAGTGGAACCTCGCATAACGACAATTTCGCTTAAC